GCTTGCTTTCTCACTCCCTCTTTCTCTCACTCTCTCTGTCTCTCTCTGGTCAAATTAAAAAATAAATGAATGATTAAATAATTATTAAAAAAAAATAAAAGGAAAGGAAGTATCCCTCCATGGAGCATGGTCACACCGTAGTCACTTCTCCATTTATCCCTCCTTTTGGGATTTTGGGCACACAAATACATAAACATGGCATTTTCTCAAGCTGCTAGGTCCAGGACTTGAATCATGTGGGTGGGCTGGCCAATATTTAGTGTGTGTGTTGTTTTATTTTTCCAGAGGATACATGTACCCACCAGAGAGAAGGCACCCTCATCCCCTCCCCCTAGTGGGGCATGGTCACTCCAAACCTTTTTCCTCTGTTTTCTCCTTTCTTCAGGGTTTTGGGCACACATATACATATGTCCGATGTGTTTTTCAAGCCTCTGGGACTGAGTTTCTTTTAGATTTTTGTCATAGGGTGCATGCAGTTACTGGAAAGTGAGAGGGGAAGTGAGAAATCATCCCCTTGGGGGATGGCCACACTGCAGTTCCTCTTCATTCTCCTCCACACACACACGCCCCTGACGTGATTCTTAAGCCACTAGGTCTAGTACTCTAACTGTGGTCGGCCATGTGGGAGTCGAGCACTCTAACCACCATGCCACCTGGGGCTGAGATTTTAACCACAGTTGACCATGTGGGATCCAACTTCCTATGCACACGACCTAACTAACTACTGCACTATTGGGCCAGCACAGTTAGTATGTTCTTACTGCTCAGAAATTTCATTATTATCCTCTATTTTCTACCTTGCAGAAAAGAATGAAATAGATAACATAGAGATATAGCTCACTTTTTCGTTGCCTCACTGAAATATTGGAGGTTTAGAATAACCTCCGATAAATTACCATAAAAGCCACTACCTATCTTGTCCTTCGGTCATATTTTATGACTGTTAGGTTTTTGATGGCCAAGCTAGTGGAAATAGCATGAAAGAAGGAAGAGTAGAAGAAATACCCAAACATAAATGTAGTACTTTTTTTTTTCCCTCTCACCGCATTTCAGTGTCTTTTCATGCTTGTTCTTTTGTCAGAGCAGATGTGGGCATAGATGTACATGTGGATTTTTTTTTTTTTTTTAATTTTTAGAGAGTTGGTTTTTTTTGTTTTTGTTTGTTTGTTTGTTTGTTTGCTATAGGGTGTGTATGTTCCCTGGAGAGACAGAGACAAACAAAGTGAGAAGCCCCCCTCTGGGGATGGTGGCCATACCACAGTCTCTCCTCCATTCCCCTCCCCGGATCTTGTGCATCGCACACACACACATGCCCAGCTTGAGTGTTGTTACTGGATCCAGGACTCAAACCCCAGTTGATTGCATGGGAGTCTAGCGATATAGCCATTGCACCATCTGTTGGTCCCCATGTAGATAATTTAATATATTGTTAAAAGCAACAACAATAACAAAAAACTGAAATGACCTATTCATTTCTCACCCAGTAATGAATGATCCTGAATATAACCTTCGGCTGAAACTGTCTCTGCCCTCAGCCATGGTTAATAATTCAAATGAGAAGGAGTTAGGAGGTGGGGGTAAAGAAACAGTGATATTGTGCTCCTAATTCTATGCATTTATTGTGATTTAAAAAGTAAGATATTTACCTCTTGTAGGATATTAATTAATATAGAATACAGTAATATTGCCTTTTGCACAGTGTGTTCATCACTCTCATTTCTATTTTATAGGAAAAGAATAATTTAGAGATAGATTTAAACTACAAGCTTAAGTCATTACAGCAGCGGTTAGAACAGGAGATGAATGAACACAAAGTAACCAAAGCACGTTTAACTGACAAGCATCAATCTATTGAAGAGGCAAAGTCTGTTGCAATGTGTGGTAAGTGGCAACTTTAATATTTTCTTCAACAATTGGTTTTAATTAATGCCTGTAAACATTTGTTTTTGATCAGGATTTTATTTTATAGTACTGTAAGTCATAGAAAGTATAATCCTAGGGAATTAAAAATGATAAATTTTAAAGCAATCTTCCTTTTTTTATATGAAATTTTTTACCTTTTATTGCTCTCAGTCTGCTTACCTCTATTTCTTATAAAAATTAGTGGACTCTCTTTTCTCCTAGTTTTTCAGCCTTTCCCTTGACTTTTTTCCTGACTGTTAATTCATCTGCTTTCTTGCTTTGTACAATTTTCTCATTCCTTTGTATTCCCACTATATCGTGCCTCTAAACACTACTCTAGTTCACCTAATCATTTTCTTCATTTCAAATAGTACTTTATGTGGGTGTTGGTCATTTCATTATTTATCACTCCAGTTTTAAGTAAACTTTTCTTCTATTCTACAAGAAATAATGCAAGCATAGTCGTGAACTCCTCAGATCTAGTTGTTTTGATCAATTTATTCCTCTTCTTTAGCCATCTTCATTATCTTTCTTCGCATCTTAGAGTAGATTGATCCCCTTCCGAAGACTAGGGGACTCAGATCTAATTTCTTGTCTTATCTAAACATTACCTCTTTTTCTCTTCTTTATTCTCAACCTTTTCTCTTCCACTGGCTTCTTTCTTGTTGTGGGCATGTAGAAGTTTCTCTCATCTTAAAAATAATAGACAAACCCTTGTGGCAACATGTGATCCTTATTAATTACTATTGTTTTCTTCCATCCCTTTTACAATAGCCACCTCTTTTTTTAGTTTTCTTTTTTTCCCCCCAAGTTTGTTATAAGGTGCACATGCTGGCTGGTGAGAGACAGAGAGAGAGAAAGTGAGAAAGCATCTCCTGAGGGAATGGCCACATTGCAGTCCCTTTTTTATCCATTCTCTCAGGGTTTTAGGCATGCATACTCATCCAATGTGCCCACCATGTTTCTCAAGCTGCCAAGTCTGGGATGAAAGCCCTGTGGGATCCAGCCACCTTACCACCATGCCACTTGACTGGCCCTACAATAACCACCTTATTAAAAAAAGTCTTCCTTTTCTTCACCTTTTAGTCATGCTTAATCTAATATAATCTGGATGTGTCACTTGGCACCTTAAATTTATTTTTTCAGAGGGAAACTATGTCCTGCCTGACCCACCTGCCCTCATTCTTCATTCTCATTAACCTGATTAATGGCCATCTGTGTACTTATGAATCTGCACTTTGGAATCAAACATACACTTTTACTCTTAAACATACTAGGTTTATTTAATTTTTTCTGCTTTCTTTCTCTCTTTCTTTCTTCTTTCTTTCTTTCTTTTAGGTGTTTGCCATCTCGTGTGCTTGCGAGAGAGACACGGATAGAGGGAATATAAGAAATACCCCATGGGTATGACCACACCACAATCCCCTCTCCTCCCAGAACTCTGGGCACACACGCACATATAATCACTATTATTTTCAAACCACTGGATCTGGGACTTGAACTATGGTCAGCATATGAGAATCTAGCACTCTAACCACCATGCCACCAGCTGGCCCCTCTAGGTTTATTTCTTTTTAATAGTTGAGAAAATGCATGTAAGGTGTCTGTACATAGAAAGCTTTCAGTATTTGGTAGGTATTTTCATAATGATGGTGGTATTATTCAGCATCTGGGAATATGGGACTTATTCAGGAGTTCTACTTCCAAATTATATATACAGTGTAGTCCTGTTCCCATTTTAGTTCATGATAACATTGTTGCTTTGCTTGATCTTTTGCAGTACAATTATTTTAACTCTGCCAAGAGTTGTTCTTCTCATCAGGTTATTCTCACTTAAGTTGGAATGACTTTTTAAAGTTCAGCTCTTATTGTGTTGATCCTTCTTAAAATCTTTTAATGGCTTTTCATTGTTTGCGAGGTACATTCAAATTTCTTACAATGTACAGAATCCTTAAGTTGGCATCTACCTATCTTTATAATCTTACTGTTCTGCACTTCCTTACATCTGCCCTGTGTTTCAACCAAATTAAATACCTTTAGTTCTTTCATATATGTTCATTATTGGCTGTGTACCCTATGTTTCAGCCATATCAAACTACTTTTAATTATTTCATATATGTTAATTTTTGGCTGCTGTGACAGGCAACACAGAAGTGGGAATATAACAAAGAATAAGATGTTTCTTTTAGAGAGTACAGGAAATGCATTCTAGGCAGAAGAAATAGTAAGTTGCATGAGTTAGAGTTCCTTTTATAGTCTTAAGCCTCATGAAACTTTTCTGGAACAATGCAGAGACTAATAAACACTCTTGTCTTTGTGCTTTTACCTGACATTCCATTTTCTCATTTGTCACTGCACTTCCTTTCACTTTTGGTCTGAAAATGGTACAGAATAATCTCATTTCATTGGAAAAAGGCTGGATTTAGAAGGTTTTATTTTCTCACTTTATCATATTTTATAGCTCCCTTTCTTTAGAGATTCCCACTATAAATAACTCAAATGATCTTAGAACTTCTATAATTAATAACTATTAGAGTCTGGGATAGAAACAATACAGACAATTGAAACCAGTTTACAGTTCCTGTAAAGTAAAACGTGTTAAAATACTTTTTTTATAAAACATTTGTTTGTAACATTTTGCTTTTACAGAGATGGAAAAAAAACTGAAGGAAGAGAGAGAAGCTCGAGAAAAGGCTGAAAACAGGGTTGTTCAGATTGAGAAACAGTGTTCCATGCTAGATGTTGATCTGAAACAGTCTCAGCAGAAGCTGGAGCATTTAACAGAAAATAAAGAAAGGATGGAGGATGAAGTAAGAATTAGTACTGAATTTGTTCATCTTTTGAAAGAGAAACAATAAGCCATATAATTTTAAACCATGAAGGAGATTTGAATGAAATAATCCACTGTAACAGTGTCTGTGCTTAACAATATGGTCGTTCTAGGACCTAGAATTTTTATCTTCAAATAGTTATTGAACATTCACTCTGTAGTGTAGATACCATTTCGCACTATAGTGGTACAGCTATATTGAAATGTTATAGCTCTTCCCCTGAAGAAATTGCTCTAAAAATAAAACAACAACAAAAACTTCTATATTTAAAAAAATCTTAGAATCCCAATCCCTTGCTCTTTTTTTTTTTTTAAATTATTTATTTTAGTTTTATTTATTCATTCATTTATTTAAATTTGACCAGAGAGAGACACAGAGAGGTAGAAAGAGAAAGTGAGAAAGCAAGCCACCAGGTCCGGGACTTGAATCATGGATAGCCATGTGGGAGGTTCCAGGGCTTTAGCAACCATGCCACCTGCTGGCCCCAGGAGCATTGCTCTTAGATTTCAAAAACAAATATTAAGCTGCACTCTTAGGTTGAACTGGCTTAGGTTGATGGAAAGCAAGGGTACACATTTATAAAGCAGTTAATAAAAAGATAAAATTACATTATATCCTGGTGGTTACTATATGTATTTTAGAAATTATTTCTAAAACTGCAAGTAAGAAAGCCTTCACAAAGAGGAATAGGACGTTATGTAGATTTTAAAGGTTGTGTAGATAGATCATTTGAGAATCAGAACCTGACTTGGTAGAGGGAATATTATCAATAAAAATGCATGAAAGAGAACTGAGTGGGGGGAACCAGCAGTTAGCGTAATGGCTATGTCGCTGGACTCCCACGTAGTCGACCGCGGTTCGCGTCCCAGACCCGGTGGCTTAAAACTCACACTGGGCGCGTGTGTGTGTGCCCAAGATCCCGAGAGGAGAATGGAGGAGAAGAGATTGCGGTGTGACCATCCCCCCTGGGGGGTGATTTCTCGCTTTCTGTCTCTATGTCTCTCTCTGTCTGGCGAGCGCACGCGCCCTATAGTGAAAACCTCTCCAAAAAAAAAAAAGAGAGAGAGAGCGAACTGAGTGAGTAAGAAGATGGGTTAGTAAGGGATTAAAAGGAGCTTAATCCCACCAGAGAAGATGGAGAAATGTTGAACAGTCATGGGAGAAACTTACTAAAAAAAAAGATACTCTTTAAAACTTTCATGGGAGCTATACAGAATACTCTTTTAGGAAAATTATTCTGGTAGTGGTGTATAGAATAGACTAGAAAGAAGAGAGATTAGAAATACCTATGAGAGTTAGCTCACAGGAGAACTGTATATTGTAAATTTGAAAGATAATATTCAAATGTTTTAAAACATGATTTTTGATCACCTGATAATTGCCTGGGTTTGCACTAGGAGTTGGGGTTACCGAAGTGAATAGAACAGATACGGTTTTGCCTTTTTTTTGTAATTTACATCCTAGAAGGAAAGGTAGATATAGTAACTACAAGCGTGACAAATAAGTAGAAAGGACATACAGTGTACCACCGTAGGAATATATGACAACCACACCTGGGAGTTAAGCCCTCACTTAAGGGTATGACATTTTAGTTGAGAGCTGAAGAATGAATAAATGAAGAGGGAAAAAGAATATCATGTGAAAGAGCAGATCATGAAGGACATTGTAAGTCGCTTTAAGACTTTTGAGTTAATTGGTCCCAACACCTAGTAAGTACTTTGTAATTTGTTGCATTGGGTTAAATATACATTCAATTTGTTTGATAAATTTTGGAGGGTTATAGACTAGAACACATAAATGTGAATGAATGGGTAAGTTTAAATACCCCTTTGGAAGGCGCCTCTCCAAAAATGACTTTTATAATCACTTTATACACCAAAATTTCCATGCTGCTTGGGGCAGGAAGAAATAAGGGTTTTTGTTTGTTTGTTTGTTTATTTTTCTATGCGATCTCATGACATTCAGGAATGAATTTGGCTTAATAGTAATTCTGTAATTATAAACACAGAACAATGGAGACTCTTCAGAATGCTAATATTACCTATTAGTATAAGGAATTAAAATATACTTGATATTAATATTCTTTCAAGTAATGTCTAATAAATTATTAAAGAGATTTTAAAAGCCTGATTATTTTTCTCATTCATAGGTTAAGAATCTAACCCTACAACTAGAGCAAGAATCAAATAAGCGACTATTGTTTCAGAATGAATTGAAGACTCAAGCATCTGAGACAGACAGTTTAAAAGGTTTAGAAAAGCAAATGAAGCAGGAAATAAATACTTTACTGGAAGCAAAAAGATTATTAGAATTTGAGTTAGCTCAGCTTACAAAGTAAGTCCTGAAAATAACATAATGATTTTTTGTTTCTTTGTGTTCAGCTTTGTCTTATGCGTTCAGTATTTTATGTGTGTACAGATTGTGTACTTAGAGTTTGTGAAAGGAAGACAAAAAATCTTGTAGAAATAAAAGAATTTACTTGTGGGGCAGGCAGGTGGCATGGTGGTTAAGGGCGCTGGAATCCCACATGACTAACCATGGTTCTAGTCCTGGACCTGGCAGCTTGCTTCCTCACTTTCTCTCTCTCTCTCGCCCTCTCTCTCTCTGTCCCTGTCTGGTTAAATTAAAATAAATAAAGTTAAATAAAATAATTCTTTTAAAAAAAAGAATTTACTTGTAAAGAAGGTTTGTAATAGAGTTCAGGCTTTGGAAGGACAGGCTTACTAAATTAAAAATACAAATTGTCTAAAGAAAAAAGGATTATTAAGGCAGCTGGCAGTATATGATGCAAAAATCACAATTTTCTCATACGTTTTTCTTATCTACTAAAGTAACTATATTTATTCAGACTAGAATTACAAAATCCAGGATAAATTACTTTTTTTTAAAAAGCTGTAATAATACCTGGACCAGCAGGTGGCATGGAAGTTAAGAGAACTGTATCCCACCCACATAACTGACTCCACGGTCTGAGCTACAACCTACTATCTTGAAAATCACACTGGGTGTGTGTACATGTGTGTCCAAAATCCAAAGAGGAGAATGGAGGAGAAGGATTTCAGCATGGCCATCCCCCATGGAGCATGATTTCTTACTTTCTCTCTCTCTCTCTCTTCCCAGCGAGTACATGGCCCCTGTAGCACACACTAAAAAAAAACTGTAATACTTTACAGAAAATGCTCAAGGTTTCTATTAGACACAATGATGTTTTGAAGGGTTTTTTGTTGTTTTATCAGTTTCTTTGGTTCATTTCAGAATGCAAAGTATTTTTTAAATTTTTCTATTACTTTTTATTTATTTATTTTTTGGAGACGTTTTTGCTATAGGATGCATGCACTCACCGGAGAGTGAGACAGAAAGTGAGAAATCACCTTCTCGGGGCATGGCCACGCCACAATCCCTTCTCTATTTCTCCTCCATTCTCCTCTCAGTATCTTGGGTACGCACGTACACACATGCGCCCGGCGTGAGTTTAAGCCACTGGATCCGGGACTCAAACCGCAGTCGACTACATGGGAGTCCAGCAACATAGTCATTACGCCAACTACTGGCCCCTATTTTTCTATTATTCTTGAGATGTGATGTGCCTGCTGCCTTGAAATAGAGACAAAGCAAGTTGTCAGTTTTGCTTTCATAATTTAGATAGGTATATCCTATGCCTAGTCATGCATATTTTTAAAAGTTTTGCCAGAGGATATATGTGCTTGCCAGAAAGGGACATAGAGAGAGACAGAGAAAATTGGAAAGCACCCACATGGGAGATGTCACTCTGAATTCCCTTGTATTCCATTTGTTCCCTCTTTTAGGATTTTGGCCACACTTGCATCTGGTATGTTTCTCAAGCTAAGTCCAGAACTTGGACTATACAGTCGGTCGTGTGGGATGCATCTACCATAAATACCATGCTATTGGCTAGCCCAGAGTCATACTTCTTATTGCCTGCAAATTTGTTTAATAATTTCCCTTGACAGCTTCATTTATAACATATAGTGATTTTTGGATAAAATTGCAGTTTTGGTCAACCTGGATTTATTTTGGTGAAATTCTTTTCCATTTTTACCAAGTAATGTACTTTCTCTTTTCTCCCAGAAAACTTACAGTGAGCGTTCAACAACAGTTGTTATGAACTTTAATTTTTTTATTTTTTCTTAATTTGCTAGTGGGCACATGTGCTTGCTAGAGGCAGAGAGGAGAAGTAAGAAAGCACTTTCCATGAGTGATGGTCGCACAGTAATCCTTTCTCTATTTACCCTTTCCTGATTGGGGGCACACATACACATGTGCCCAGCACATTTTTCAAGCTGCTGGGTCCAGGACTTGAAACATACTGTCAGCCATGTAGGATCCAGCCACCTGAACCACCACCCCACTGGCTGGCCCTGTTGTGTACTTTCTATCAGTCACATGCCTTATTAGATACTGCAAGTGCAAAGCTGTTACTGTGTAATATGAAATTACGTCCAGTATGTACAATCATGTCAATTAATATTTTTAAATTACCTTGAGCATATGTGTTTAAAGTATATATGAACCATAAATGAATTTCATGCCAATTTAGGCTTGGGTCCCATATCTAAGATATCTCATTATGTATATGCAAATATTCCAAATTCAAAAAAAAAAAACCTCGAAAACATTTCTAGTCCTAAGTGTTTCACATAAGGGATACTCAACTTGTTGTCTCTTTATCTGTTTTCCTTTTTCTTTGTCATCTTATTGTTCTTATTTTCCCTTATTTCTCAATGGACTGTTCACTTCCACCACCCCCTTCTTACGCTTAATTGGCTATAATATGTAGTACTGACTTTATAAGTATTTTCATGGCCCTTTTTTGTTTACTTGCTACATAAGACAGATGGTGTAGTGGTGAAAGTGCTGGACTCCCGCATGGTCAATGACGGTTTTGCTCCTAGACCCTGTGACTTGAAACTCATGCCAGGTGTCTGTGTGTGTGTGCATGCCCCAGATCCTGAGAGGACAATGGAGGAGGATGGATTGGCCATCTCCCCTGGGGGGGTGCTTTCATGCTTTCTGTCTCTCTGTCTGTGGTGAGCACACGCACCCTATAGCAAAAATCTCTCAAAAAATAAAATAAGGGAACCAGCAGTTAGCGTAATGGCTATGTTGCTGGACTCCCACGTAGTCGACCGCGGTTCGTGTCCCAGACCCGGTGGCTTAAACTCACGCCAGGCGCGTGTGCATGCGTGCCCAAGATCCCAAGAGGAGAATGGGGGAGAAGGGATTGTGGTGTGACCAGCCCCCCTGGGGGGGGTGATTTCTCGCTTTCTGTCTCTATGTCTGTCTCTGTCTGTCTGGCGAGCGCACACCCCTATAGCGAAAACCTCTCCAAAAAAATAAAAGATAAAAATAATAAAATAATAAAATACACTGCTACGACTTCTTTTTATCTGTAAGAATTTACTAGAAAAAGCAATTTCAATTATATTTTTGTAGTTTGGACAAATCATAATCAATATTCTCCTGAAAGTGACTCTCACTATAAAGCAGTTCCCTCTCTTTTACATAGCAGCATCTTATAAGGAGCTGTATAGAACCAGACAGTATTTTATGGCCTGACCAAATTTGTTATTAAACTGTATAATGAAGTATGTTTTTTAAAAACAAAGGTCATTTTAGTTAACCCTTTTTATTTTAGCAACTTTAATAAGCCTATAGGAGCACTTGTTTACTGTTTTTCCTTATATTTGAAGACAATATAGAGGAAACGAAGGGCAGATGCGGGAGCTACAAGACCAGCTTGAAGCTGAGCAGTATTTCTCGGTAAGTGAGGATTTTCTTTTTTTTTTTTTTTTTAAGAATTACTTTATTTAACTTAATTTATTAATTTACTTCATTTGACCAGAGAGGGAGGACAGAGCGAGAGCAAGAGAGAGCGAGCGAAATAGAGAAAATGAGAAAGCAAGCCTCCAGGCCTGGGTCTTGGTCATCCATGTGGGAGTATAACACACTTAACCACCATACCACCTGCTGGGCCCAGTGAGAATCATTTTTAACATACAGACTGTTTTAAAGTCTGACTTGAAACAAGGGATTTAGATTATTTTATGTAAAATATGAATCTTTTTAAAATGACTATGAAGAAATTTTTCTCCTCCTTTTTAAAAACAAATATGCCAGGGGACCAGCAGGTGGCATAGTGGTTAAGGTGTGAACTCCCACATGACCAACTGCATTTTGACTCCTGGACCCAGTGGCTTAGAATTCATGCCGGGTGTGAGTGCATGTGTGCCTAAAGTTTCAAGAAGAGAATGGAGGAGAAGGAATTGCAGTGTGGCTATCTCTGTCAGGGATGACTTCCCACTTTTTCTCTCTCTGTCTTACTCTGTCTCTGGAGAGCACACACACCCTATAAGAAAAATCTCTCTTTAAAAAAAAAAAAAATTGCCAGAGGGCATGTGTGCTCAGAAGAAAGAAGAAGAGAGAGAATGAACCCTCCACGGGGAATGGTCTCTCTTCAATCCCTCCTCCATCTCTCCCTCTTTTTGGGATTTTGCACACATACACACGTGCCTGACTAAGGCACGTGTTTTTCAAGCCACCAAAACTGGGATTCAAACTGTAGAGTTGGCCATGTGGCATTCAGCTTCTTAGCCAGTAGATCACAGGCTGGCCCATTTTTCCTCCTTTTAATCCCAATCTCTACATTTCATTTTTGAACTTAGTTTATGGCCTATTTAGGTTATGAAGAAATTACAGTTTTTGTGTAAATGATCTCAGAGTTGCCATAAGACTTTAAGGGTTCTGCTTGCCTGTTTGTAAGCTTGAGTGGTTTAAAGTGCCAGTATAATTGGGGAACCATCAGTTAGCGTAATGGCTATGTCGCTGGACTCCCATGTAGTAGACCGTGGTTCACATCCCGGACCCGGTGGCTTAAAACTCAGGACGGGCACATGTGCATGCGTGCCCAAGATCCTGAGAGGAGAACGGAGGAGAAGGGATTGCGGCCTGGCCATCCCCCTGGGGGAGGTGATTTCTCACTTTCTGTCTCTCTGTCTCTCGCTGTCTGTCTGGCGAGCGCATGTGCCCTATAGCGAAAACCTCTCCAAAAAAAAAAAAAGTGCCAGTATTATTACTTATGGCCCATGTATACACATTATAGAATTGTAGGTATAAATAGTATTTAAGAAATTTTTCCTCTTAGCTCTGTATTCACTTTTTGCATTGTTTGGCTATTTCTTCATAGATGTCATTCTCTTAGGTCAAACTATTGCTATAAGTCAAATTATTTTTACTACTACTAGTGATGAACATTTAGAACTAATGCTTTGAGTCCTTATTGAAGCTTTTGAATGTTTTTGTTTCTTTTGATTGCCAAGCTTATGCTCTGCCATTTCATTTCATCTTAACATTTATCCCATGCTGCTCTGTTAGGATTGCCCTGACAGCTACCTGTAAGCTTTATAGTCCTATTAATCCACTATATATACTTACTTTTATGATTTGTTTTGCAGACACTTTATAAAACCCAAGTAAAGGAACTTAAAGAAGAAATTGAAGAAAAAAACAGAGAAAATTTAAAGAAGATACAGGAACTACAAAATGAAAAGTATGTACATTTTATGATAGAACAAGAATCAGTACTACAGAGCATTCTTTTTTTTTTTTTAAGAGAAATTTTTACTATAGGATGTTTGTGTTCGCCAGAGAGATGCACACATACACACGTGCCTGACTAAGGCACGTGTTTTTCAAGCCACCAAAACTGGGATTCAAACTGTAGAGTTGGCCATGTGGCATTCAGCTTCTTAGCCAGTAGATCACAGGCTGGCCCATTTTTCCTCCTTTTAATCCCAATCTCTACATTTCATTTTTGAACTTAGTTTATGGCCTATTTAGGTTATGAAGAAATTACAGTTTTTGTGTAAATGATCTCAGAGTTGCCATAAGACTTTAAGGGTTCTGCTTGCCTGTTTGTAAGCTTGAGTGGTTTAAAGTGCCAGTATAATTGGGGAACCATCAGTTAGCGTAATGGCTATGTCGCTGGACTCCCATGTAGTAGACCGTGGTTCACATCCCGGACCCGGTGGCTTAAAACTCAGGACGGGCACATGTGCATGCGTGCCCAAGATCCTGAGAGGAGAACGGAGGAGAAGGGATTGCGGCCTGGCCATCCCCCTGGGGGAGGTGATTTCTCACTTTCTGTCTCTCTGTCTCTCGCTGTCTGTCTGGCGAGCGCATGTGCCCTATAGCGAAAACCTCTCCAAAAAAAAAAAAAGTGCCAGTATTATTACTTATGGCCCATGTATACACATTATAGAATTGTAGGTATAAATAGTATTTAAGAAATTTTTCCTCTTAGCTCTGTATTCACTTTTTGCATTGTTTGGCTATTTCTTCATAGATGTCATTCTCTTAGGTCAAACTATTGCTATAAGTCAAATTATTTTTACTACTACTAGTGATGAACATTTAGAACTAATGCTTTGAGTCCTTATTGAAGCTTTTGAATGTTTTTGTTTCTTTTGATTGCCAAGCTTATGCTCTGCCATTTCATTTCATCTTAACATTTATCCCATGCTGCTCTGTTAGGATTGCCCTGACAGCTACCTGTAAGCTTTATAGTCCTATTAATCCACTATATATACTTACTTTTATGTTTGTTTTGCAGACACTTTATAAAACCCAAGTAAAGGAACTTAAAGAAGAAATTGAAGAAAAAAACAGAGAAAATTTAAAGAAGATACAGGAACTACAAAATGAAAAGTATGTACATTTTATGATAGAACAAGAATCAGTACTACAGAGCATTCTTTTTTTTTTTTTAAGAGAAATTTTTACTATAGGATGTTTGTGTTCGCCAGAGAGACAGAGAGACAGAGAGATAGAAACCAACAAATCACCCCCGAGGGGCGATGGCCACCCTACAGTCCCTTCTTATCCAGTCTCCTTCTTGGGATTTTGGGCATATATGCACACATGCCCAGAGTGGGTTTTAAGCTACTAGGGAAGGGACTTTGACTACTGGGAGTCCAGCAACATAACCATTACGCCATCTGCTGGTCCCTGTACTACAAGGTATTCTTAAATTTAAATGTGAAGATAGTAAGTAGGAGTGTCATTACTTTGATAGGAATGGTATAGCACATTTTGAATCAATTCAAAAATAATTACGCTTGTCTGAAATTTACTTTTATTGTGAAGAAATAGTGTAACAAATAAAAACTAACATTTGCATAAAGATTCACTAAACTGAGAATAAACGATTTCACAGTAAATTGGTCTCAAAGGTTTTTCGATCTTCAAACATCCATTTGTATGTAAATAATTCATACTGCTTTTGAATCATTACCTTAGGTTTGATAAAGGTGTCAATATTCATGATCTTTCTGTTTATGTAGAACGCAGGTTAATTTCTATTACATTTGTGCTTAGGGCCTTAGAAATCTATTTAAATATAGCAGCCTCACTTTGGAATTCAAGTAACAGGCCGAAAAAGATAGTGACTCCTTGAGCTGGAGTCTTGTAGCATTAGTTTCAGAAAGACACTGAAATGTATTTTCTAACATTGTTTATATTCTCTTCTCATTTAACCTCCTTTGAAAGTACTAAACATTTTTAACTGTTTTGTTATTAAAGCAAATATAGAAGACTGCAAAACAAATGCAGTTTTATGAGAAATATCATTATAACCACCATCCATGAAAAAGATAAAACCTTGCTATCTATTACTTCAGAAGCCCACTAATCCCACCCCCTAATCATGTCTTCTTTCTTCCTGACCACAAGAATAATTACTATCCGGACACCACTTACTTGTTGAAGAAACGATCTTTTGTCCTAAAGAGTTTCACTACATTTCTTTTCTTTTCTTTCTTTCTTTCTTTTTTTTACTCATTTTTAACACATTTTTAATATTTTGGGGTTTTTGTTTTTTGTTTTGTGTGTTGTTTTTTTTTTTGGGGGGGTGGGGCTTTTGCCATAGGCTGTGTATGCTGCCAGAGACAGATAGAGATAGGGAGAGGGAAAGTGAGAAATCATCCCCAAGGCAGCTGACGATGCTGCATTCACTACTCTTCCGTTCTCCTCTTGGGATTTTGGGCACATGTACACACATTACCATCATGAGTTTCAAGCCTCTGGATCCAGGACTCAAATCACAGTCAGCTATTTGGGAGTCCAGCATCTTTTTTATTTTTTTATTTAACTTTATTTATTTATTTTGATTTTGATTTGAGCAGAGAGGGACAGAGCAAGAGAGAGAAAGTAAGAAAGCAAGCTGCCAGGTCCGGGACTTGAACCACAGTTAGCCATGTGGGAGTCCAGTGCCCTTAACCACCATGACACCTGCTGGCCTCATTTTGAACAGTTTTATAAATAAGCATAAGTTAGGCTTTTCATTGTTTAGCCTTATTGACTTCATTAAAACTTGAGCCAGCCCATGATCTGTTGGTTTAGGCATTTGGATCCTACATGGCCAACCACACAGTTCAAGTCCCAGGCTCTGGGGCTTGAAAAAACACACCCAGTTTGTGTTCATGTGTACCTAAGACCCAAACAGGAGGCAGAAATGACCGAGAATGGATTATAGAGTGACCGTGCCCTATGGGGGACGCTTTCTCATTTTCTTTCTCTCTTGTCTCTCTTTGGTGAACACACAGGCCCAAAGTCATGATGTATTATTTCTTTTTTTTTTTTTTTTAAGAGACTTTTCCTATAAGGTTCATGCACTTACCTGAGGGACAGAGAGAGAAAGTGAGAAATCATCCCCCCCAGTGGGGATAGCCATGCCATTGTCCCTCCTCCTCCATTCTCTTGGCATCTTGGGCAGTCACGCACATGTACCTAGCCTGAGTTTTAAGTAGCCAGGTTTGGACTCGAATCCAATGACATAACCATCACGCCATCTGCTGGTCCCCGTGATGTATTTTTCTTTTTTTATTTTTTTTTCCTTTTATTTATTTTATTTATTTATTTATTTTGGAGAGGTTTTCACTATAGGGTGCATGTGCTCGCAAGACAGAGACAGAGAGACAGAAAGCGAGAAATCACCCCCGGGGGGATGGCCACACCGCAATTCCTTCTCCTCCATTCTCTTCTAGGGATCTTGGGCACGCACGCATGCCTGGCGTGAGTTTTAAGCCACCGGGTCCAGGACGCGAACCGTGGTCAACTACATGGGAGTCTAGTGACATAGCCATTACACTAACTGCTGGTCCCATGATGTATTTTTCTATGCAAAACTATGTCGTGACTTTCCCGACAACCCAATATATAATATTTCCTTCGTAGTGAATGCATTTGAAATCTTTTATGATTAAGTTGCCTTAGTTGCATTAAGTTGATTAAAATATTTAAAATAGGATCAGCAGGTAGTATAGTGGCTGAGGCACTGGATTCCCACATGGACGGCTATAGTTCAAGACCTAGACCCAGTGGCTTGAAAATCACAACAAATAAATAGATAAATATATGTTTATATATGTGTGTGTGTAAATATAAATATATATTTATATAAAAATATTAAAAATATATTTTATATTTAAATATAAATGTAAATTTGATATAAATCATCTAAAATATTATATATTTTATTTTAAATATAAATAATATGAAACTTATAATGTCTGTTACTGAGCTTTGTATTACCATACATTTTAGCATTACAGCAGGTATCAACATATTAATTTTATTTCTAAGTATCAGAGTGTAGGTAACATACTTAACTGAAGTATAACATAGCCACAAGGCTTTTTCTTGGTTTTTGTCTATGCCAATAGCCCTATTGTAGAATCTAATCTGTTGTCTACTATTTGCACATTATGCATAGTATAATATGCATTCCTTAGTATATGTGTTCACTGTGAAGGGGACACCCAATTAACAACATAATGTCTTGTTACATAGGGTTTATACGTTTGCCCCCTTTTTTTTTTTTATCTATTTCAGACAAATATATTGATAACTGCTATTGTGGTAGGTACTGTGTTTTGTACCAGTGATGTAATTACTAGATTATGGTTCTGTGTTAAAGTGCTGCAGGAGTTGGATCCCACATGGCCGATCACATTCATATCCTATCCCCAGCACCTTGAAAAACACATGAGACACATGCATGCCTCAAATCCTAATATAATGGACAAATGGAGGATAAGGGATTGTGGCATGACCAGGCCCCACTGGGTGTTTTCTCCCTTTCCCTCTCTCTTGAATTCTCTCTCTGGCAAGCATATACATCCTCTAGCAATAAAAAAATTTAAAAAAAAAAAACAATAAAATACTCAGTTAATTTTATCATTTAAAGATAATTGTGTTTTCAAGCATATGAATAAGTTAGAAGTCTGTACTGAATACTTACGTACTGAATATTTGCTGATATTGCTCTTTAAAATATTTTACAGAGAAACTCTTGCTACTCAGTTGGATCTAGCAGAAACAAAAGCTGAGTCTGAACAGTTGGCTCGAGGGCTTTTGGAAGAGCAGTATTTTGAGTTGACTCAAGAAAGCAAGAAAGCTGCTTCAAGAAATAGACAAGAGATTACAGATAAAGACCATGCTGTTAGTCGGGTAAGTGTGATGGTGTGGTAAGTTATATTACTAAAATTGATTAAGATTAAAATATGTAGCATCTTAACGTGTTAGGGTGGGCCAGCTGGTGGTATGGTGATTAAGGTCGCTGGAACCCACATGACTGGCTCTGCAGTTCAAGTCCACGACCCAATGGCTTGAAAAATATGCTGGGTACATACATGAGCATGCCCAAACTCCTGAAAGGAAAGTAGAGGGGAAAGGATTGCAGCAGAGCCATCCCTCCCTGTGTGTTGGGGGCAGTGCTTTCTCACTTTCCCTCTCTCTCACTGTCTCTCTTGCTCTCTTTTTCTGTCTTTCTCTGGTGAGCACACCTGCCCTATTGCAGACTTTAAAAAGTATTAGGGTGAGAGTGTGTACATTACTTATACGGGGGAACTTCAAAAAGTTTGTGGGAAAATGGAATTAAAGTCCAAGTTAATTTTGGTGTAATATTTTTGAAATCCATGCATAGTTGTTTTTTTGTTTTGTTTTGTTTTGTTTTGCTATAGGGTGCATGCACCAGCCAGAGAGAGACAGAGAGACAGAAAGTGAGAAATCACCCCCGAGGGGGGCGGCCACGCCGCAATCCCTTCTCCTCTGTTCTCCTCTCGGGATCTTGGACATGCACACACACGCACCCAGCGTGAGTTTTAAGCCACTGGGTCCAGGACACAAACCACAGTCAACTACATAAGGGTCCAGCAATATAGCCATTACGCTAACTGCTGGTCCTTTCCATAGTTTTTTCATAATACAAATTTTCCTTGAGCCTTTCAAAGGTCCCTCATATGGTGATCACTCTGTATTATGTGAAATAGTTTCTGTTATCTAAGATAGTAGTTAATTATTGAAATTTTTATTCAGTATTTTGGGCTTTTTATTCCTTCTGGCTGTAGATCTGAATAGCTGTAAGTTTCATGAAAAAATGACTAGCTTAAATTCATTTGGTCATCTCTCATTACACTGCAGTTGATTTTATGGGACAGGATTCTGTGAAAATTGATAGTATAGGTTCTATAGAATCACAGGGCTAAAAGGAGAAGTCAAATTTTTCTTCTTTCAAAGTCACCATCAAGTGTTATGATGTAAGCAGGCCTGGATTCAAAACCCAGTTTTGCTCCTAAGAAGTTATGTGACCTTGGCAAGTCACATTAATTTCTTTAAGCCTCAGATTCTTCATCTGTAAAATAGAAACATTCATAATGTTAGTACTTATTCCACATGATTATTGTGAAGATTAAATTATATAATATACAAATGCTCCTTAACTTCCCAGTGGGGTTGCATCCTAATTAACTTCTCCTAAATTGAAAATATCATAGGTAAAAACAAGCATTTAGTACACTGTACAATATTAGTTGTTTACTTTCATGATCACTTAAGTGGCTGGAACTGCAGCTTACCTGCCCAGCATCATTCTTTTGTGATACATCCTGCTAGCCTGGCAGAAAAAAAATCAAACTTCAGGCTCTGCTGTGGTGGAAAAAGGTAGGGTGCTGCTCCATAGTAGGCTGGGGCTAGATGGGAGTCCCAGGTATGGATCCTACATCATTCCTAACAGGCTGGGGGTAATGCACATGCACCTGAAGTCCAGCTCACTGGGAAGCTACAGCTGAGGGTCTCTATAGTGAAACCCTGTCAGAAATATCTCTCTCATTCAAAACAAAGTTCAAAATAGGTACTACAGTTTCTACAGAATGTGCATCACTTTCACACGATTTTAAAGTAGGAAACTCCTAAATCGAACCATTGTAAATCAAGGTCCATCTGTAAGAGTAATCAATAAATACATTACTGAAAGTAGTCAATAAATGTTTCTGTTGACATTTTCATTATTTTTACTCAAAGAAAATGAGGCCCAGAAAGATTATGATTTGCATATGGTCTGGTTCTCTTTCTATTTCATTTTTTTCTCTCTATGCATACACACACACACACACACACACACACACACACACACACACACACACATATATATATATACTGGGTTGTCAGAAAAGTCATGACCTGTTTTTTCTGTCTGTGAAAAAAATGAGTCATGACTTTTCCAACAATCCAGTACATATATTGAAGTAATGTGGAGAAGCTAGTGATTGTTTAAAACATATATTGATATACACATACATATATACATATATATATACACACACACATTCATGTATATTTGTAGTTTGCTATAGAGCTTGTGTGCTCACGGGAGAGAGAGATGGGCAGGGGGAAAAATCACTCCCCTGGGGTGGGAAAGGAGGATGGCTACGCTGCAAACCCTTCTCCTTTCGGGATTTTGGGCACACATGCATATGTGCCTAGCGTGTTTTCAAGTCACTGGGGTTGATTCTTAAACCATACAGTGGGCCATGTGAGATCCAATCATCTTAACTTCCTGTGCTGGCCTGTTTTAAAATATTTTAAATGTATCCACATATTTTAAATTCAAAACCAGATGTTTTCTCTTAATTATGCCGTGTCTGACCTGTCCTCACCTTTGAAAATTGTGAAGTATTATTTTAAAGGTTATTGCTTTAAATATGAGGATGGTAAAGAGGCTGTAGCTTAAACTTTTATATGCTTTGTTTAGCTTGAAGAAACGAATAGCATGCTAACCAAAGATATTGCATTGTTGAGAAAAGAAAATGAAGAGCTAACTGATAGAATGAAGAAGGCAGAGGAAGGTATGTAGGAGTTTTTTAATTATTATGTTAAATTAGGTTCCTTGATTAATCTTAAACTATTTATGTTATGTGGTGTGGTTTTGAAATATCTGTTTTTATATATTAAATAACTTTGTAGCCCAAAGAATTTAAGTTAATAAAGTTGCTGAAAGTTACTGTACAATGTATACTAATTTGAATAAAGGCATTTTAATTTGGAATGCAGAAATTAAGTTATTTAATGCCATACAATAACATTTTATATAATTTATTGACAGAATTTAAATTGCAGAAGGAAGAAGAGATCAGTAATCTTAAGGCTACCTTTGAAAAGAACATCAGTACAGAACGTACCCTGAAAACACAGGTATATCTGTTTTCAGCCTTTACCATGTGTTTTTGAGTATCATATATTTAGAAAGTTAGTCATTGCTTTTTGTGCACTTTTTCCTAAAACTGAAGTTTCAAACTTTTCATTAGAAAAGACAATGTAAATTATTTTCTCAATGGATATATAAAACTTGTTTGGGAAATAGGATTTCAGTAAAGTTAAGAAAACTGAATTGTCTAGTAATTTGTCTTGTTAAAAATTATAGGACACCTATTATTGACAGTGGGAAAACTTAATGAAGAGAACACTGAAACCAAGAGAACATTTGGGAATAAGTATGAACCTATGAGGGTGGATGTGTTCTTTTCTTTGTATCTAGTAATCTATCTAGATCAAATTTTTTCCACCAAAACTTGATAAGAATTCAAGTATCTGTGGAGCCTAAAATAACATGAGTTGAAAGAAAACAAACTTGGAAGAATATTTACAACATTTTTATTTATAAGTAGAAATAAGAAAACAATCCAATAGGGGAAAAAAATAAGGGACAATTGAAAGAAAAAGAAATGGATAGTGAAGATTTAAAATGTGTTCAAACTCAATAATGAATCAAGAAATAAAAATTAAAATAATAATGAGCTATCTTTTGGCAGTCAAATGGGAATTTAAATGAAATAAAGTATTCATTTAAGAATTATGTTATTTAACTTTATTTATTTATTTTAATTTGACCAGAGAGGAGCAGAGCAAGGGGAGGGGAGGGACAGAGAGAGAAAGACAGCAAGTACAGAGTGAGAGAGCGCGCACGCAAGAGAGAGGGAAAGTGAGAAAGCAAGCCTCCAGGTTCAGGACTCGAACCATGGTTGGCCATGTGGGAATCTAGCGCCTTTAACCACCATACCACCTGCCAGCCCCCAAAGTCAAAGTTTTCAAAAACATTAGGGAAAGTTTATTCATACACTATTTGAGAGTGAGTAAACTATAAGAAACAATTTAACAGAATAAAGCATTTTTATGTGTATATGCCTTAACCCAGTCCTGAATTTAATTCTACATAAATGATTCCTTAAATGCTTAAAAGAAATATATGCAAACGTTATTGCTACATTATTTATTTATTTTTTAAGAGGTTTTTGTGACAGGGTGCATATGCTTGCTAGAAAGAGAGAGACAGCAAGACCGAAAGCAAGAAATCACTCCCACAGGGTGGGGTGGCCACACCACAATCCATTCTCTTCTCTCACATCTCCATTTCCTCTCGGGATCTTGGCCGTGCACATACACGCACCAGCATGAGTTTAAGCCACCGGGACCAGGACTTGAAGCATGGTCGACTACATGGGAGTCCAGCAACACAGCCATTATGCCAACTGCTGGTCCCATTACTACATTTTTTTAAAAAGATTTATTTATTTATTCATTCATTCATTCATTTTAATTTGGCCAGGAAGAGACAAAGAGAGAAAGAGAGGAAAGTGAGAAAGCAAACCACCTGGTCCAGGACTTGAACCGTAGTTAGCCATGTGGGAGTGTCCAGTGCCTTAACCACCATGCCACCTGCTGGTCCCTACTACACTATTTTATTCATTTATTTTCTTTGGAGAGGTTTTTGCTATAGGGCGCGTGCGCTCGCCAGACAGAGAGAGAAAGAGAGACAGAAAGCGAGAAATCACCCCCCTGGGGGGGTGGCCACGCCACAATCCCTTCTTCTCCATTCTCCTCTTGGGATCTTGGGCACACATGCACATGCGCCCGGCGTGAGTTTAAGCCACCAGGTCCAGGACTCAAACTGCAATTGACTACATGGGAGTCCAGTGACATAGCCGTTACGCTAACTGCTGGTCCCCCTACTACATTATTTTTAACTGCAAAAAATACATAAATTCAACCATCTATCATTGTCATAGTGATAAGCCAATATATATCCATGCAGTGAAATGCAAATTAGCCGTTAAAAATAAATGAAATAAATTTATATGTAATGATATGAAAAGTAGTATTTCCCATGATATATGATATAGTAGTAAGTGGTAAAACCATATTGTAGCACAGAATATACACTGAACAGAGCAAAAGAAGTCTTTAGCAAAGGTAGTCTTTAAAGGGTGGTATTACATGGGCCTTTCACTTTTCTTATAATATTTCTCTGTATTATTATTTTTAATACACATGTGTTAGATTTACTAGTAGAAAAAATCTAGGTATGTGTTTCATGAATTCCATGAAGTAAGATTTTACTGCATTAAAATTATTCAAGAGCTTCTCGTCCTAGTTGGACCCTAATCTATATGGAACAGTGGCAATTAGGGCTCTTTTCTGTCTTAATGGAAAAATCTATAATTTTTTGATAATTATAGAACAGATATACCATGACTTAGTTTTATAGAATATGTTTTAAATAGTTTATCTCATTTTGAATATATACATTTTCCTTCTATCAAAAGGTACTAACTTCAGTTGTTTTTACATCTCCTTTTACTTTGAAAAGAGCCTCAGAATAACCTAATCTGATGCCCTCTCCCCCTGCTTTGGGGGCTTGTTTCCTCTGTTGATAATGCCAGTCCTGGCTCCCCTCCTTCATATAATTTCTTCTTTGCTTATCCATCTGCTGTTTGTTTTTTTAAGAAACATATGTGTAGCGTGCATATAGGTAGGTATTCTAGAAGCCTTCTCTAATTTCTCCAAGCCTCAGTCAGGTACTGATCCTCACATTGCACGCACCATTCTTGCCTCCTCTTATCAGTTACACTGTAGTCTTTTTTTTTTTTTTAATTTATATTACATTTAATCACAATCAGTGAATAGCATTTCTTTTTCCAGCACGATTACCATGCATATCAGTCAAGATAAAGACATTACTATTCATATCATCATCAGTAAATAACTTTTCATTTTTTTGTCAAAACACTGCAGTCTTACTTACCTGGCTCCTCCACCAGATGAGAGATGCCTTTGGGACATAACTGTTTTCTCTCTTTGTATCTAGTGCCTATAAGGGTGCCTGCAGTGTAATAAATGCTGAGTAATTGTGGAACAATAAATGGGCTTTGCAAACTTACTTGGTTCTTACATTTCGAACAGTAAGATAAGTCAGTATTTACTGATACTAATTATTGCTGTCATATCCCAGCCTAATTGTCATACATACATAAAGTACTACTTCCTGATTTTGACGGGAAAATACGTTTTTAGTGGGGATTTCAGTTGAATGACTTAGATCCTTATAATAATATTTTAATATTTGAATAGGCTGTTAACAAGTTGGCAGAAATAATGAATCGAAAAGATTTTAAAATTGATAGAAAGAAAGCTAACACACAAGATTTGAGAAAGAAAGAAAAAGAAAATCGAAAGCTGCAACTTGAACTCAACCAAGAAAGAGAGAAATTCAACCAAATGGTAGTGAAACATCAAAAGGAACTGAATGACATGCAAGCGGTAAGGTTTGTGTACATATGCATATGTAGGAATATTTTTGTTAATTGTTATTAATATATATACCAGTTATCTATTTATCTTTAGATTTTATTTTGTTATATAACACACATTTTTGTTTATAATCTTTAACAGTATAATTATTATTCTTCTAATGTGAACCCTGATCTTAATAACTGGAAAATTATTTTTAAAAGATGCTGCATTATTGCCTGTTAGTTACTATAGCATGAGTAATTTGCACCCTTTAATAGCTTCTTAACTAGAGGCCCAACTTTGACAGGCAACCAAGGGTTTTACCTCTTTGTTTTCAAACTGAAATTGGTATATATCTACTGTAATGTTGAATATAGCTGGGATACAGGTTTGAAGTATAACTTACTTATTTTTCCTTAGTCAAACACCATTTTTCTGAAAGCAACACATCAAGCTTAATTTTTTGAAGCTTTCTGGCTTGTTAACAGCACAAAATTGAGTACATGGTCTCTGATATTTGGCTAGGTCTAAGCTTTAACTTCATCATTTATGCTTTTACCATCTTGAGATGTTTTCTGTAGCTTTTCTTTTTAATTGCCAGAGAGAGAAAGCAGCTCCTAATAGAGTGTGGTCACACACACATACTTGGCATGTTTTTTAAGTCACCAGGCCAGGACTTGAACTGCATTTGGCCATGTGGAATATGGCTCCCTTAACCAATAGGATATAGGGCCAACTGGCCCTATTTTCTGTCACTTTTAAACTCTTCAATTTGGAACCAGAAATCCATTTTCTTCTTTTTTTTTTTTTTTAACTTTTGTTTTGATGCCTTATGTTTAAAAAGGGAAAAAACCTCATAAAGCAAGGAGAAAGGGAGCTTATCCAAACAGTGTATTAGGTTGTCAGAAAAGTCATGACACATTTTTGCATAGAAAAATACGTCATGACTTTTTCAATAATCTTATATTACTGAGAAAGACCTTGTGTTTCTATAATGTATCAAAATCTATGTGGCCAGCCACAGTGGTGCAGCAGTAACACAATGCTTCACAATCCTGAAGCCTTATGAGAAGGTACCACATTTGTGTCCCAGGGTCTCCCTGGAGAGCGGGTACACACATGTACATGTGCCCATGACCCTGGTTGGTTGAGGCATGAATGGTCCTTGTGACTGAGGTATATAAAGACCCTGTTTGGAATGCTTATGTGTGCGTGTGTGTGTGTGTCTCTCTCTCGTTCATGGAAGAAATAAATGAAAAACATTTGAAAAAAATCCATGCTAGCAAATATACATGAAGTTTATGATACATTTTCATTTAATTGTTTTTTATTGCCACAGGGCACATGTGGTTGCCAGACAGAAGGAAGACAGAGAGAAAGCACCCCCAGTGTGACATCTTCAAGCCATAATCCTTTATCCTCCCTTTCTCCATCCCATCAGGGTCTTGGCGATACACACATGTGCCCAGCATGTTTTCGAAGCTGCCAGGGACAGGATTCAAGCCATGGTCCACCATGTCAATCTAGCTCTCTTAACCATAAAGCTCTGAGACTGGCCCTACAGTAAATTTTTAGTGTTAGCTATTTAGATTACTTGTATTTCAATTAATTGTTAATGTTGGGAATTATTTGGGCTTAATTATATTATCTCGGTTATTTTTTTTAAATAGCAATTGGTGGAAGAATGTACACATAGGAATGAACTTCAGATGCAGTTGGCTAGCAAAGAGAGCGATATTGAACAATTGCGTGCTAAACTTTTGGACCTTTCGGATTCTACAAGTGTTGCTAGCTTTCCTAGTGCTGATGAAACTGATGGGAACCTTCCAGGTAAGAGTAATGTTATTACTGTCATTCAGATTTGTTAAAGGTCATGAAAAGTAAGGTATTGATTTATTTCTTTAAAATAGATTTCTATGTCTTGTCATTTTGTCCATGAGTCATTCAGGATTAACACTAACCTTATAGTGAAAATTAGAGCTGCTGCTGTATCTTTCACTATTTAAAGAAAATTGAGTATTGTATATGTTATTGGGAATAACAGCTGTTTAATGTTTTATGTATTGTTGTACTGAAACTAAGACCTGTACTTCATAATCAGAACCAAGGCAGCTGTATATGGAAGCCTACCTAACGTAGTAATGATTAAATTTAGTTAGACTTTAAGTTTTAAGTTTAGAGAAATGGATAAAAGTGATTAGGCCATGCAGTGAATAGGAAGGGAGTAAAAGGCAGAAGTTGAGTGGCTAGGATTTTAGACTTTTCTTTGTATCTTTTCCCTGTAGAGATCATTTTTTTAAAAAAATGCACATACGTACACTGTCTCATTCTTAATATAATAGTAGCATAAATTATAATATATTCATACTTTTTTGGGGGGAAGTGGGGAAGGTTTTTGCTGTAGGGCCCGTGTGCTTGCCAGAAAGACAGAGACACAGAGACAGAAAGTGAGAAGTCACCTCCCAGGGGGCCTGGCCCTTCTCCTCGGTTCTCCTCTTGGGATCTTGGGCACGCACACACACGCGCCCGGCATGAGTTTAAGCCACGAGGTCCAGGACGTGAACTGTGGTCAGCTACAAGGGAGTCCAGTGACATAGCCATTACACTATCTGCTGGTCCCTACATTCATACGTTTTTAACAAAGATGAAAAATTAGAAATAAACATAGCTAGTTCAGTTTATAAATGAAGGGATTATAAATATTACAAAATGAATTAACACATATATGCATTTTACATGCTACTGTTTTTGTTCTGAGTTTTTGGTCTTTTTTTTACATGGTCATGAACTTAAAAATAGTTTTTTGGTTTTGTTTTTATTTCTGCTATAGGGTGTATATACTTGCTGGATAGAGGCAGAGATAGAAAGTGAGATATCACCTTCCAGGGGGATGGCAACACTGCAGTCCCTTCTCCTCCATTCTTCTCTTCAGATTTTGTGCATCATACACCCATGCCCAGCATGTTTTTCAATCTGCCAGGTCTGAGACCTTGCAGAGTCAGTCATGTCAGATCCAGCTACTTTAACCTCCACACAACTTGCTGGCCTGAATATAGATTTTAATCATTGTATTTCTTTTTTTATTATTATTATTTAATTTTATTTATTCATTTATTTTAATTTGATCTGAGAGAGACAGAGAGAAAGTGAGAAAGCAAACCACCAAGTCCAGGAGTCGAACCATGGTCAGCCATGTGAGAGTGTCTAGTGCCTTAACCACTATGCCACCTGCTGGTCCCCAATCATTGAATTTCTTGAAAAATTCATGAATAGGGACCAGCAGTTAGCATAATGGCTATGTCACTGGACTCCCACGTAGTCAACCACGGTTCAAGTTCCGGACCTAGTGACTTAAAACTCACGCCAGGTGCGTGTGCATGCGTACCCAAGATCCCGAGAGGAGTACGGAGGAGAAGGGATTGCGTGCGACGTGGCCGTCCCTCCTGGGGGGTGATTTCTCACTTTCTGTCTCTCTCTCTCTCTCTCTGTCTTTCTGGCGAGTGCATGAGCCCTATAGCAAAAACCTCTCCAAAAAAAAAAAAAACATGAATAAAAAGATACTTATGAAGCAGCGTGTTTGATATTATAGAGATTTTATTAGGTTGTCAGGAAAGTTATGATATATTTTCCTTTTTCAAGAGATTTTTGCTATAGGGCACATGTGCTTACCAAAGAGAAAGAGAGAGATGGAGAGAGAAAGTGAAAAAATACCCTCCAGAGGGCATCATGCTGCAATCCCTTCTCCTCTATTCTCCTTTTGGGATTTTGGGCACGCACATGCATATGCCTAACATGAGTTTCAAGCCGCCAGTTTCAGGACTTGAACCACATTTAGCCACGTGGAAGTCCAGCAACTTAACCACTATGCACCTGCTGGCCCCCCATGAGTAGTCTTCTGTTTTTCTATGGGAAAATGCATCACGACTTTCCTGCAACCCAATATTTTCATAGGTATTACCTGTTTTTTGAGAATTTGATAAAAGAAACTTGATAGACTGCTTAAGTGATTTTATACTATCTTTCTTAGTCAAGAAAGTTGGACTAGGGCTGGCAAGTGGCATGGTGGTTAGGGTGCTGGATTCTCATATGGCCGACCATGGTTTGAGTCCCAGACCTGACAGCTTGCTTTCTCATTTTCTCTCTCTCTCTGTCCCTCTCTAGTCAAATTTAAAATAAATAAATAAACAAACAAATAAAATAAATAAAGTTAAATAAAATAATTCTTAAAAAAAGAGACTCAGTGGGAAATGAATTCAATTTCTATAATGCACATGAATGTGTATATGTATGCACACACACACACAGAGTATGATCCCTGCCCTAATTGTTTTGTGGCTCTGCCAGCCCAAAATCAGATATCTAGGTAGAGAAGATCAAGGAAGGAATGTTTCTTATTCCAGTGGTCAAGGAATTTCTTCTGTTTTCTTTTCTTTTCTTTTTTTTTTTTAAAGAAGAATTATATTTAACTTTATTTATTTATTTCAATTTGACCAGAGAGGGACAGAGGGAGAGGCAGAGAGAGGGGTTGGGGGTTGTAGGAGCGAGAAAGCAAGCTGCTAGGTCCAAGATTCGAACTATGGTTGGCCATGTGGGAGTCCAGTGCCCTTTATCATCACACTACCTGCCAACCTCCTGTTTTCCTATTTTTGGCTCTCTGAAACTGCGTGACTCTTGAGACTCTTACAAAGTACACATCATTCATTAGTTTCATTAGTGGAAGAACACTTTGGATATAACAGAAACTCTTATCTCTGTTTTTTGCCTTCTTCTTTTTTTTTCTTTTTAAGACTTTTTCCAGGTAGTTTTTTTTTTTTTTTTTTTTTTGGTTTTTTGGTTTTTATGTGCATGCACTCTCCAGAGAAAGACAGGGAAACAGTGGTGGTCAGCCAAGTGGAAGTCCTGCACCTTCACCACTATGTCACCTGCTAGCCCTTGAAAATATTTCTAAAGTTAGAAAATTGTCGGTAAGAATATAACCTTTAGGGGGACCAGCAGTTAGCGTAATGACTATGTCACTGGACTCCCACGTAGTCGACCGCAGTTCAAGTCCCGGACCCAGTCGCTTAAATGCACACCGGGCACGTGTGCTTGCGTGCCCAAGATCCTGAGAGGAGAATGGAGGAGAAGGTGTGGTGTGGCCATTTCCCCTGGGGGGTGATTTCTTGCTTTATATATAACCTTTAAAGGTGTTTGGACACATTCTTTCAGTTGTTGAACTTAAACTAGTTTAGATCCTTCTTCATTATCCCCAAGATACTTTCGAGGTTATTTAATAAAGGGATTCTTACTCTATTTAATGTCAGATAGAAATCCTGACTAGGGGTGCCAACAGATGGCATGGTAGTTGGGGTGCTAGACTCTCATGTGGTTGACTCTTGTTTGAGTCCTGGACCTAGCAGCTTGAAACTCATGCTGGGAGTGTGTGCGTGCATGACCAAAATCCTAGGAGAAAAATGGAGAAGGGATTGCACTGTGGCCATCTTCGCTGGGGAGTGATTTCTCACTGTCTCTGTCTCTCCAGCAAGTGCATAGGCCCTATGGCAAAAACCTAAAAACAGAAAAAGAAAGAAAAGTCCTGACCAGGTTTTATTTTCTTTATGCCACCTGTTTCCCTTTATCTCTGTTTATAATGTCTGTGTGTGCTCTACTTTTCTTTATGTTAAACATTTTCAATACTGATACATTATTTGTGGATACTGTTTAGAACATTTCAATTGCAGGCCAGCTGGTGGTGTGTTGGTTAAGTCAGCTAGATCCCACATGGCTAACTGAGCAGTTCTAGTCCTCAACCTGGCAGTTTCGAAAACACTCTGGGCGCATGTGCATGTGGGCCCAAAAATCCCAAAAGAAGAATGGAAAAGAAGAAATGGCAGCATAACATCCCCTCTAGGGGATGTTTTCTCACTTCCCCTCTCTCTTTCTTTGTCCCTGCCGAGCCCATGATGGCAAATTAACAACAACAAACATGAATAGAAAGATGAGCTGATAAGTTTTACTCTGTATTCTGACTTACTGAGAAAGACTAACCAAGATTGTTGGATGGTTTGACTGGTAGATTTAGATTAGGAATCCATTTGGATTTCAAAATCTTGACCTAAAATATATTGACTTAGGAATCAGGAAAGAGATTTAAAAATGTTTCTACTGTCTCTATTCTGAATATGTTACTTAGAATATTTATTTATTTGGAGGATTTTGTTTTTAAGGTTTTCATAGTCTGAACTAAGGGAGGAAAAAAAATACTGGTAGCCATTCTTGGTTGCAATAAAATGAGACCAGTAAGGTATTTCTTGCTTGCCTCTTTTACTATGTGCTAAATCTTAAAACTGCAAAGATCTCAACATTGCTGAATCTTTTTTTCTAAAGAATTATTTAATTTTATTTATTGATTCATTTATTTTTTATTTGACAGAGAGACACACACACACACACACAAACACACACAGAGAGAAAGAGAGGATGGGAGAAAGGAAGCCACCAGGTCCGGGACTTGAACTGTGATTATTGCTGAATCTTGACTTATGTATTAGAATTAGAATTACTAGATAGGAAACCAGCAGGTAGTGTAATGGCTATGTCACTGGACTCCCATGTAGTCAACTGCGGTTCGAGTCCTGGACCCAGTGGCTTAAACTCATGCTAGGCACATGTGCATGCATGCCCAGGATCCTGAGGGGAGAATAAAGGAGAAGGGACTGCAGCATGACCATCTCCCCTGGTGGGTGATTTCTCGCTTTCTGTCTCTCTCTGTCTTTCTGGCAAGCGCGTGCTACCTACAGCAAAACGCTCTCCAAAAAGAAAAAGAAATTACTAGATAGTTTTTTGTTTTT